GAAAAGGTCGAGCCTACACTGCATAAACTCAGTAAAAAAGGTCTTAACATGGACGCTATTGACAGTGAAATTCTCACTTGGTGGGAAACAGTGGGTAGCAAGCAGAAGAAATCAAAACATGATAAGATAATTGAGGCTTTAAACTTCATAAGTTATAAACGGCTAGATAAGTCAACAACATTTCTATCCTCGCTTATGGATGTTAAATGTGAAGAGGCCCATTCTAAAAATGCAGAGGCAAAAATGTCTGAGGCAAAGATCCAAGATCTTCAAACACAGCTAGATAGATTACTAGCTGAGCAGTTAGCCCTGACTGAAAAGTGTAAAAATCACAAATACATCATTGCAGATCTTAAAGTCCCCGTGAACCGGAAGTTGCAAACGATTTTTCTCCAGTGCTGTGACGTATTTCCAAGTGAAACGGAATATTGAACAGAGGGCAGGGTTTTACTCTAGCGCTCCTCCTCTCCATCTCTCGCTCATAGTAAACTAACGGTTTGAGGGGAGTGGTTAAGCGTTTCCCCACCCAAACTGTGAAACCTACGTCATCAGAAAAAGAAACCGTTCCAGACCGGAAGTAACTTTTCAGATTTTGATTAAAGATTACCAAGGTAAAACATTTTTTTAATATATTTTTACTTGCACGGATTAATTGTTCACCACAAGACTAGTAATATGCGCTAACAAAGTAAATAGGTTCAATTTTGATTTCACGGGGACTTTAAGGCTAAACTAATTGTTGAAAAGTCCATTTCTCCCAAAACGCTCAACAGCGATGGGACTAAAAATGTGCGCTTCTTAAACGAGTCAGCCTGCTCTAATAACCCTGTACCTTTTCAGACAGATGAAGCATGTGACAAAGTTTTGAACGAAGTGTCTGTTTCAGCCTTTAAGGTGATACGCCACCCAAACGGCACAGAGTCAACCATTTGACGTCCTCTAACGGTAACTGAATGTAGCTCGTTTAAAACAGAGATCGGACCATTCCCTTTGAAAGGGCCATTCGAACCATGGTGGAGACGCATTGTTAGCCTAAAACATGCATTTCAGCTTGAACCAAAAGATATTTGGCAAATTGTTATCAGCTCAATTCCAGATGTCCTGAACTATAAGATACCAGGCACCATTGTGCAGTCAATACATCAAAACGAGCCTGAGAGTGAAATCTTAAATAGATTAAAACAATGTCTGCGCCATCTACGTGGTTGTAGTCCTGTTGGATGGGAACTGATTCTCAATCGGAAACAGAGTACTGAAGAATCGTTTGAGACATATGCAGAAAAAATTTTTGAACTGTTCGAGGAGTATTCTGGAATTAAGGGTGTTAACCACAACAATGTAACTCTCCTTGAATTACTACTTACAAATGCAGGGCCGCGTGTACAACAGTCGCTCATGTATGGTGCTTCTCCAGCAAAAAAGACATTCAAAGGAATTGTTAGCTGGGCAACAAGAATTGAGTCACGAAAACAAATACATGGTGAGATAGCTGTTTTAGAATGTCATGAAAATCCTCCATTTGCAGGAGAATTCAGAAAGCCACACGGTGGCAAACTGAGATGATTCTGTAATTCCTGTCACAAAACAGGTCATACAGAGGAAAAGTGCTGGTCATTGGGCAGAGGCAGACCTCCTCCCTATTTCAAAAAACCACACTCTGATGACACAAACCAGCGCTCTGCAAGGAACCAAAGCTCAGATGCATCTAAAACCCTCACTGAGCTAACAACTTTGGTCACTCAAGGCCTTCAGCTATTAGCGTCATTTGCTAGTCGGGTAGCAGCCCAATAGCAAACAGCTTAATAGTTTTAACATCTAAATTTAACGAATCTGTAACATTTTTTTTCCAGAGACCAGATATAATAATTTCATTTATATTCTTAAATTTGAATATACATTGTATTGTAATCGCCAAGCAAGCATTAATTGGACAAGTGTGAAATTAATCTTTACAGTTCAATTTCGTTGACCTAATACCCTGTGCCAAAAGGGCGGAGGTGTGTTTTAATTCTTAAGTGTGGCACAGGTAATTGCCAACCGACCAAGAAAGTGAATTTACAAGGAGGGATCCTCTTCTAAGGTTTACTTCTGCAATTCCTCGGAGGACGGACGCCAGGACGGCCGATCTCCATGATTGTTTGAACATAACCTGAGATTCGGGAGATGGGTGAAAAGACAAATTCAAGAGGCCTTTACATCTCACAACAACACATCACTACATTAGCAAGGCCTCCCAGTTTAGAACTGGAACTAAAATTTGCAACACAATTGTTATACAGTAGAATTTCACCCATCTCCTAGACATGAACACTGACTGAACACACTCCTCCATCACAACACACTCACAGCATCATCACACGGAATAGATCAAATGTATCCCAACTGAACATTACACATCATAAGAAGATGAAGATGATGTCCAATAGAGTCCAATAGAGTCACTTCACTAAAGATCTATTGTGCATATTCACACTCACAGATCCGGATAGCTTCACACACATAAGGATGGGAAGCTGATCCCATGACATAGCACACACTATTCACCACACTCTGCCAACTCATGGAAAAACACTGGAAAACAAACACACACACACAAGTCAAGTCAAGTCACATTTATTTATATAGCGCTTTTCACAATACAGATTGTATCAAAGCAGCTTCACAGTGATAACATGAAAGTAGTACAACACAGATCAATAATATTGCTAAACACTAAATAACCCCAACTGAGCAATCCAAAAGCAAGCCAAAAGCAAGGCGACAGTGGCAAGGAACCAAAACTCCATCAGACTGGATGGAGAAAAAACCTTGGGAGAACCCAGGCTCAGTCGGGGGCCAGTTCTCCTCTGGCTTACATTCATATTGTTTATATATAAATATTAAATATAAATATTGTTTATGTATAAAACGGCGCCATAACATATCGCAGGCGTTGAGTCGTCTCTTCACAGGCGCTGGTCCTCTCATCACAGGCGTTGGGGCATCCGAATCCCCGTGAGAGGCTGGATATAAAACTGGACCTGACGAACGCCGTTTTTCTCGGGACAAGCGTCCCGAGATAACAGCAGAAAGGCAGATGGGAAATAATTAGCATAGCTGATGTTCATAATGATTTCCATTATACGGGAGTCGGTGTTAGAAACCACTATCTCACGAACTCTCCATAACCTGAACTCTCCGCAACCCAACCATACGCGCTGACCCGATTGACTAAGGCTGTCGAGCCCCACTGTCGCGGAAATGCGTTTCAGTGGCAAACGGTTCCGTATGGCATAACAGAGGACTAAAAGGTAAGCATTATGTGAATGCTTGACTAAAGAGATGCGTCTTTAATCTAGTTTTAAACTGTGTCAGCAAGTCAGAGCCTCGGACAGTATCGGGAAGGCTATTCCAGAGTTTTGGAGCTAAATGCGAGAACGCCCTCCCTCCTTTAGTGGACTTCGATATCCTAGGAATGACCAGAAGCCTTGAATTTAGTGATCTTAAGGAACGCGGTGGATTGTAAGGCGAAAGAAGGTCCGTTAAGTACATCCCAGCAAACATGCCAGTGCGGGCCCACTGTGGGTAAGTGTGGGTTTTCTGTGGGACAGTGTGGGCAAGGGCAAACCCTTTGGGGCCCCATGTGGGCTTGCTGAGGGCAAGCCCACAGTGGGCTTTCCCACAGAAACCCCTCAAGGGCCCCTAGTGGGTTAGCCCATGTGGGGCCCATAGCAGTTTTGCCCATTTGGGCCCCCATGAGGGTTTACTGTGGGCAACCCACTGTGGGTTTGCCCACAGAAAACCCACACGGGCCCCCAGTGGGTTAGCCCATGCGGGGCCCATAGCAGTTTTGCCCATTTGGGCCCCCATGAGGGTTTACTGTGGGCAACCCACTGTGGGTTTGCCCACAGAAAACCCACACGGGCCCCCAGTGGGTTAGCCCATGCGGGGCCCATAGCAGTTTTACCCATTTGGGCCCCCATGAGGGTTTACTGTGGGCAACCCACTGTGGGTTTGCCCACAGAAAACCCACACGGGCCCCCAGTGGGTTAGCCCATGCGGGGCCCATAGCAGTTTTGCCCATTTGGGCCCCCATGATGGTTTACTGTGGGCAACCCACTGTGGGTTTGCCCACAGAAACCCCTCAAGGGCCCCCAGTGGGTAAGCCCATGTGGGGCCCATAGCAGATTTGCCCATTTGAGCCCCCATGAGGGTTTACTGTGGGCAACCCACTGTGGGTTTGCCCACAGAATATCCACACAGGCTCGCAGTGGGTTAGCCTATGCGGGGCCCATAGCAGTTTTGCCCATTTGGGCCCCCATGAGGGTTTACTGTTGGCAACCCACTGTGGGTTTGCCCACAGAAAACCCACATGGGGCCCGAGGCAGTTAGCCCATGCAAAGTTAAGTTGTTTAACAGTCAAATGTTTTAACATTAGAAGGTTTAATATTAGAAGCTTAATCAAACTATTTAACGATCCTGTGAAATGTCAGTCCATAATTAACTAAAACTGCATATAATGGATTATGAGCATGTGCATTTAAAAACAAATTTTTGACTTATAAGGAATTATAAAAAAATATAGATGTAACTATATATTGTAATGCAGTAGGTCTTAATGAGTCTTTATGAATATATTTATACAATAGTAATATTGCTCATAAATAAGTATAAATGGTGCTATAAATCATTATAAGTATGGACTGCACAGAAAGTGTTTCCATATTTATTAAATAAAATTAACTTATTTGTCACAATAAAAACAATACAATGGTTTACTGATTTGTTTTGGTATTCATCAGTGATGCATTTTATCATAATAAAATTATATATTATTGATACTAATAAATAGGCCTACATCACTGATGTAACGACTGAGCCCAATCAGACACAAACGAAACTGCGACGTCACTGGGCGTAATTTCATTACCAACTTTCATTTATATAGCATTTTAGTGCTTTCATATTCTAATGAAAAAAATAATATTACATGGGTCATAGAACTACATAATGATTTTTAAATTCATGATATAAAATGAATGATATTTTAAATTGTTACATGTTATAATTCTAGATGTTTAAATGCTGCGTGCCTTTTGAATTGTTATGGTTTCAACGCGCGTGCGAGTCGCATTCAAAGTTGTCCGGTTCAAAGACAGGAGCGCACGCGAGCAGATGGAAACCATGGAAACGAGGAAACCTCTTCAACTGACAAACAGCAAAAAATAGCGTCTCTCTGTTTTTCCACTGCTTTCAGGTAAGTTTAGTTAACAAAATCAGACAAATAATACATACAAACGTTCCTAACACCTTTCTTACGTATAATTGATACGCTTCTGTTGAATATTTACTTTGTAGAAAAGGTTTTGAGTCTTCGAAAAAGTCCGTTAGCATCTCAACTGTTTTCAGAATAGGTAACGTTAAACGTTAAGTTAAGTTAACGTTAGCTCTTGTTTTACATAAGTTTGGGGTTTTATCCACATCTTTGTGTTGATAACAGTTTTTGATAGTTTTGTTTTGCTGGTAATTTGTCAATGGGTTATTGGAAATTAGCTAATTGCTAGCTAGCCTGAAAGAATTCACACTGTAACGTACTGTTGATCAGTGACGTCACTTACAAAGATTGATAATAAAAGTGATTTCAGAAGGGACAGAAAAAAAACCTCCACAACAAAGGGGGAATTATTGTTTCATGATAATAATTTCATACATTTATTGCACAATACATTACGTTAAGATTTTATATTATTTTTCTCTTTTCTGCATTGCATCTCTAGCTTGATTCATTGTAATAAACCCTTTGTTCTATTGCAAATCCTATGTAACATTGTTGGCTCTGTGACACATTGCATGTTATATTCTAGTCTAGAAAATCATCATGATGTCCTGCTACAGCCCTGTCCCAAGACAACCTCCACGGCTATGAACTCGACTAGTAAGCAAAACTTCAAACATACTGTTCAAAAGTTTGGGGTCTGTAGGATTTATGCTTTTTAATGAAGTCTCACACTCATTAACCCCAGTTTTTTTTCAGTGATATTGTCCTTGAGAAGCCTGTAGGCTAAATAAAAGCTGGCAAAATAATATAATGTTATAATGGTCATAAGTTATAATAATTAATTTAACTATTATGATAACAGGATATCATGGTCGTTGGTATATTCTCTAGGTGTGTTTTTAATTATGTTGGCCAATGAGACACCATACTGTCCAGCGCTAAGGTATTTATTTATTTTCATGTGTTTTTTTAATGATAAATACTAAAGTTCTTTTAACTTTTAAATGCTGAATTCAGGGGGTCAGCAACTTTAGGCACGCAAGTTATTTTTCACAGATATCTGGCCAGTTTACTCATGGCTCATATTCTTAGCCTTTAAATGTTTGAATTTATATCCACAATGCAATATCAGGGGGTAAAGATATCATTGGAGTTTCTAAAGTTACTATGCTCTTGTTACCAGATGAGATATCATTTGACCCTGTGATTCTTCAGGACCAGATCTTGATGCCATCCACACCCAGTACATGACAAAGGTGAGTTTCACAATAGCTGCCACTACCACAAACCAAGAGACCGAACACAACAGACCTTCATCCATATGAACTCACCCATACGTTGGGATAGTAACCAAAACCCGGTATTAAACATTAAACGGGCCCTGGGGCCAAATTAAAGGACAACTCCGGTCAATTTTAACATTGAGCTAATTTTTTTGTACATTTGGAGTGCTGTCAGTACAGACAAAAATCGGTGTTGCCTACACTGTGTTATCATCTTTTTAAAATTCGCACCCTGCTGACTTCAATGGGGCATGGTCTAAACCTGCTTTTAGCCTCTTAACATCCTTAATTTGTCATTACGAGTGTACAGCCATGTGAGTGGTGTTATTAAGAGTGACCACGGTCAATCTGACTGCAGTAGATATGAAAGATATTAATAAAAATGATGTTAATTCAGCCAGCGCACATACCTCTGCTTCCTGTTTTCTGTGGAAGCCCACAGTAGTCGATTGTCGATCTCACACGCGAGTTCATTTATATCGTCTCAAACCTACCACTGTGTGGTGTTCTGAGAATATCAGCTCAAATGGATAGTTCATCCGAATCAGATGTTGAACACACAGAGGTTTAAGATGATATTCACTTATGATCGCGCGCGTGAACTCGACAATCGACTACTGTGGGCTTCGCCTGAAAACAGGAAGCAAATAGAGGTATGTGCACTGGCTGAATTAACATCATTTTTATTAATATCTTTCATATATTTTCACCGTGGTCACTCTTAATAACACCACTCACATAGCTGTACACTTGTAATGACAAATCATTACGAGTACAAAAAAAATAATTACAAGCTTTTTTTAAGGAAGACCGCAGTATCGATAAGCCCAGGTGTTATCAGTTCTGTCTTGCAAATTCTGTGAGGATTAGGAGGGGTATTTTAAACAGTCTTCATACAACATGTTTTTCAGGCTGGTGGTTGTTTGTAATTTTAAATTTAAATTTTAATAAGTAGGGAGAAAATAAAAACCTTTATTAAACAATTGTAAATTATTTATAACTGAATCTACAAAACATACAATAATTTACATCACTTATAAACATTTATGAAACGCATAATCATGTTTCATAAAAAATCAGTTAATCATTTACTAATGACTTGTAAATGACTTGTAACAGAATTGACAAAACATACATAAAATGTTAGTATATCACTTGCTAATCATTTATGAATATTTTGTAAAAGCTTAGTTCATCATTAACCAACCAAAATGACTTACAACTAAATGTTATTATAAACCGCAGCTCTCTCATTGACCTATTCAGTCATTCTCTTAGTTGAGCATTTATAAATAGCACCTGGAACAATCAGAAGACGTTTCCTCATTCAAAGTGCAGGTTGAAAACTTTCTTAGGTTGAAATGGTTCAACAGTACAACCCTTATTTTGTTTTTAACATTTGTATTTCAATTGTTCCTTTCTCATTTAGATGCTGTGACAAAAAGCAGTCAAGCCACTGCATGTGAGGTGGAAGCCAATATGAAGACATGGCTCCGTAATCCCTGGGACAGAGATGGGGGAAGGCAAGGAAGGGCCAGAACTACTGTTGCCCCTGAGGATTGATTTTTAATTTTCAATCCCCTGTTTTCTGTGATTATTGCTGTTTTAAACTGTATTATCATTAATTATAATTATTATTAAATATAAATAAATTATTTGGGGAAAAAACTTGACCCTCGATTTATTGCTGCTAACAAGTCCAATTGTACTGCATATAGTAATATGGGTGTACCTCTGTGTGCTCAAACTTTGCAACTGCACCCACAGTGTGCCCACATCCAGCCTGCTATAATTTGTGTGGGCCAGCCCAAAGTCAGCCCACACTTTGGGCTGGTCCACGGTAAGTAGAGTGGGCCCCGATTGGAGCCAGTTGTGGGCCCACAGCAAACCCTTATAGGGGCCCATTTGGGGCCATTGCAGGCAGCCCACTGTGGGCCCACAACTGGCCCCAATGGGGGCCCACTCTACTTACCGTGGGCCTGCCCATAGTCAGCCCACACTTTTGGGCTGTCCCACTGGGGCCCCACCTGGGTCCCGAAGTGTGGGGCCCACACGTGCCCCGCATTTCACGCCGGTATCTGGGCCCACAGTGGGCTGCCCACAATGGCCCCACATGGGCCCCTATAAGGGTTTGTCGTGGGCCCACAACTGGCCCCAATGGGGTCCACTCTACTTACTGTGGGCCTGCCCACAGTCAGCCCACACTTGTGGGCTGTCCCACTGGGGCCCCACCTGGGTCCCAAAGTGTGGGGCCCACACGTGCCCCGCATTTCACGCCGGTATCTGGGCCCACAGTGGGCTGCCCGCAATGGCCCCACATGGGCCCCTATAAGGGTTTACCGTGGGCCCACAACTGGCCCCAATGGGGTCCACTCTACTTACTGTGGGCCTGCCCACAGTCAGCCCACACTAGTGGGCTGTCCCACTGGGGCCCCACCTGGGTCCCAAAGTGTGGGGCCCACACGTGCCCCGCATTTCACGCCGGTATCTGGGCCCGCAGTGGGCTGCCCGCAAGGGCCCCATTCGGGCCCCAAAGAAGCTTGTTTGCTGGGATAGGGCCTAAACCATTTAGGGCTTTATAGGTTAGTAGCAGTATTTTGTAATTGATACGGAACTTAATAGGTAACCAGTGTAGAGGTGATAAAATCGGTGTTATATGATCATATTTTCTTGACCTAGTAAGAACTCTAGCAGCTGCATTTTGTACTAACTGTAGCTTGTTTATTGAGGATGCAGGACAACCGGCTAATAAAGCATTACAGTAATCTAGTCTCGAGGTCATGAATGCGTGAACTAATTTTTCTGCATCAGAGATAGATGTTACGTAGCTTAGCAATGTTTCTAAGGTGGAAAAAGGCTGTTCTTGTAACATATGATATATGATTTTCGAAAGACAAGTTGCGGTCTAGTATAACACCCAGGTCTTTTACTGTAGTGGATAAAGTAACAGGATATCCGTCTATATTAAAGTTGTACTGTAAGAGGTTTTGTGAGTAGTTTTTTGGACCAATAAGTAATTCATGGGTTTCAGTCACGTGACTTTTTTGTTGTGGCCGCCATCTTTAGGACCTATGCGTTGTGATCGGAAAGATGTCGCACACTAAAATAGCACACCTCAATACAGATGAAAAACAACGGTATTTAAATAAAATTGACACTTTAGGATTAGATCCTTATTTACTGTCAAACGAACTGCTGACTCCACTTAAGTCTAGTGAAAACTTGCCAAATTTGACGTTTGCGGACATATACATCTACCTCGTCCACAATCCCTCTCCATTCACCGGAGAAGCTCTCAAGGCATTTAAAAGCACTGAAGCCTATCGCTACTTCACCTCAGGATGGGTTAATGATCCCAGAATCTATCATCTGGAGATGAAGAAACTGTTCTTGATAACAGGAAGGGTAAGTGGCACTCTTTTAATTACTCGCTGAACATAAAAACCATAGTTGAAATACATTGACCGCTCGCAAAGACCCCCCCCCCCCCACCCAATTGTTTTTGCTCATTTGTTTTTAAAGCATTGTTTCAAAGCATCTTTACAGAATATGCATATGTACAGTACAATTTAGATTGTCCAAGTTATGCATTTCAGAAATGTGGACAAATCACTAATTGTCTATTAATGTAAGGCAGAAACAGTGAGCACAGCACAATTCAGCCATATTTATAACTAAGGTTACTAATGTAAATATAGATAGCTGTCTAGAATGACGTTATACGTGTTGTAAACTACATGTTTTAATTTTGCAAGATAACCTGTATTTAGCTAATTTTACTTTTATTTAAATTTTCAGGTGAAGCATTCACAAAGCCTCAGTGTAACACCAACACACCCCTGGATAACAGTACAGGAAGAGGGGACAGTTCTCATGGCTCATTGCACCTGTAAGGCCGGTTTAGGAGAGGTATGCTCTCATGCAGCAGCTCTAATGTATTGTGTTTTGGCTGCTGTTGATGTCAAGAATGGGCAGGCTTGCACTCTGAAGCCCTGTGCATGGGCCCAGCCAAGTATGGAGTCTGTCCGAGGTGTCCAATATGCAGAAATCCGTAACATCAGTTTCTGTCATAAACAAACAAGAGCCCCGTCATGTTCTAGGCCCTGTTCTTCCTGACATTACACCATCAGATGAAGAGTGCAGAATGTTTTTTGAGATGCTTCATCACAGTGAAATGCAAGAGTCAAAGCCAAAGAAAAGTGCCATCCTTTCTGTTATCGAAGCCCACTCCCACAGGTACACCGTGGTGAAATGTAACTAATTGCATCCAATGACATCATGCATATGATCTGTGTGTGTATATATATATATATATATATATATATATATATATTACTCTGTGTATATTATACAATTCCATAATTTAAAAGTTAAATTATGGAATTGTTTTTTTAAAGGGTAGTTCACTCAAATATGAAAAATCTGTCATCATAAAATATCACTTTAGGTCAAATATCTGAATACATCTTCTACCAATGCAGGTACACGCCAAAAGTGATGCAGCTGGACTTGCCCACTCCTTTGTCAGCCATATATTCAAGCACCTGTTTAGAGATGGACTTGCCCATGCTACTGATTGAGAGTACCAAGGTATTTGATAACCTACAAGTGACACAGCAACAGGTAAGTATAAAAATATTATCAACTAATTACTACTAACATTTCTACCTGTGCAGTTATAATTCACAACAATCTAGATAATTAACTAATTAACTAACAAACCTTTCTCCAGTGTTTGGTAGTTGAGGAGGAGACCAGGGAGCAAAGTAAAAGTAAGGTATGGTTTGATCAGAGGGCAGGAAGAGTCACAGGGTCAGTATTCTATGAGGCAGCCAAGGCAAACAGAGCAGTATCCTTGATCAAAAGAATTTGCTATCCACACTTCTCAGTTTTCCACTGAGGCAACAAGGTAAATTAAACATGCACAAAGCACAATTAAACATAGTGAAGGTTTGGTACATGTAGTTACTTACCATGATGTAATCTGTTTAGCCATTCAATACAAGTAAATGAGGAGAAGCAGTTTACAAGCAAATTATAAGCATAGGGTATTTATGACATTTTTGCAGTCAGAGTGCAACACCCTAAGGTAAATGTCAGGTAGATAGGCAGTAAATGCCATTCTAACAAATGCATTTTAATAAACAGTTTGTATTTAAATTTTTGTCAGATGGGGTCAAGTGAATGAGGAAAGAGCAAGGGCAAAGTATATATCTATGATGCAAGAACACCACGGAGACTTTCAGGTCTATCAACAAGTAATTAATATATGTACAGCCCATCAATATTTATTTACAGTTTATCTATATACTGTGTATACATTCCAGTTTAAAGCATCAGGATTCGTCATTAATCCAGACCTACCCTGGATAGGAGCAACACCCGACGGCCAGGTAACATGCACTTGTCATGGTGACGGCGTACTGGAGATAAAATGCCCATTCAACAGCAGGGACCGTTCACTCAATGAAAGCTGCCGAGATTCATCATTCTGTCTGGGCATAGGGGAGGATGGGAGAATGGCACTTAAGACTGACCACAAGTTCATGTATCAAGTGCAAGCTCAGATGCATGTTTCCACGGTGAGCTACTGTGATTTTATTGTATGGACACCACAGGAGTTTTTCATTCAGCGGATCATGTATGATCCTGTTTTCTTCCACAATGCCTACCTCAAAGTGGTTGAATTCATCAAGACTGGAGTACTACCAGAGCTGCTGGGGAAATGGTTTACAGCTCCACGCCATACTCCCCCAAACTCTACAACCACTGAACAGCCATCTGAAATGGGGTGCTACTGTGGTAAACCTTGTGACACAGATGACATCACCTGCACATCTGGACAGTGTAAGCGGAAGCATTTTCACAAGTCTTGCCTTAAATTGAGCAGGGTACCAAAGACATGGAAATGTGTGGAGTGCAGAAGAAAACGTGTAGTATTGGCTTAGTTTTTTGATTTTTCTTCTCCCCTTAGTTACATGAGTGTCCTTTCAAAATAACCTCATTAAGTATTCGTTTACAATCAGTAGTTTAAAATGCCCTTTTCAACAACTTATAACATCCAGTTAAGTTACTATTTGTGAGCCGGGCACAGGGTTTCTGGTAAAAATAAATATTTGCACAATAGATTACTCATGTGGTTTACAATGTATATGGGATTTTTTATGAATTATTTGATTATTATGAATGATTAACAATAAACAGAATGAGAACACAGAATTTTATTGTCACCTTTTTTATTGCAAATATAAAGCAGACTTGTATAAAAACAAATATCAGTTCATATAGTTATGTGTTTGGAACACATATGTTACTCAGTCTCTATTCTGAGGGCACAACAGATGGGCAAATGTTACACAAAGCACAGCAGACTCTGACCATCTTGTCCAAAGATGTAAGTTCTCCTGGAGTTGTAGTCTGGCAAAGAGAGATGGGTATTGTGCTTTGCAAGATTGTGTACTTGTTTCTCACAAGACCAATGACGCGTTCCACATGAATCCGAACAGCTGCTAGTCCCCTTGTACTTTCAAGTTCACTTGGGTGCAGTTGCTCTTTTGTGAAGGCTGGTTATTTGAGATGAGCACTGTACAAGCTCACAGCATCTCCTACGGTAAACCCTCGATCTGCCAAGACGACATCACCAGGTGACAGGTTTTCCAGGTAGCCGCAGTTTTCAATGAGGTGCTTATCACTTGTTCGCCCCCCCCAACCAGTAGACACAAATGATATGACTCCCTGTGGTGTTATTGAGATCAAATATTTAACAGTATTATGATGCTTGTACTGTGAATATGTTTGTGCTCGGGCTTTCATGTTCTTAGGCTTCTCAATGAAAATTTCAAAACAATCTATTATGGAAGTACAATTTCTGTATATGCTGCTTTTGAAACACATGGGTAAACTGATTTGAATTTGTTCCTTACAGGGCCACACTATGAATGAAGACAACCTACTGTTCATGACATTTAATGTACTATTAAAAATTCGGCTTGCAGTAGGCTTTGACACATGAAATATATATGTAAAGAAGTGGAGTGGTAAATCCAATCTCATTCTCATAAAGCAGTGAAAAGGGGTCAGCCCAGGTCCCCCCTTAAGGAATCCTGACAAGAAGGTGAAGACGACCATCATCTTTGAATAGGATGGAAGTCCAGTTAAGTCCTGGACCATCTCATCGTTGTCTTTGAACACCTCCTGCTGGAAAGATAGCTTGCTTACCCTGTCCCTAAGTTGATAGACCTCTTCCCTCAGTCTGGTACACTCTTCCATCAGCTTCTTCTTAGTTTCTCGACAGGCTTCATTGGAGCATGCTACACTGCTCTCCGTATGGATAGGGTCTTTACAGTAGCTGTGTTCCCCACTCTTCCCGCTCTCAGGAAAGCGGTCACTGTGGTCCATCTCAGGAAAGCTGTCACTGTGGTCCATCTCATTGCCATGGGGTAACATTGACACATCACTGGTGGTACAACTTCTCTTCCTTTTGACAGCTTGTGTTTGCTCAAATTTCTTGTAGCAATTGATTTTTCTTTGTCGTTGCTCTGGTGACAGGTAGGCAAACAGACTTGGCACATAATCAGGGTTCAGAGGATTATCACTTTTCATACCTGCAGTGATATAATGAGACACCAATTAAATTACCTTATAATAACTGCACAGTTAATTCATTAAGCATTAATAGACAAAAAATAGTATATAAATATAGAATAAATATCTATAATGTGTTTAATAATAGTATTTTCATTCTTTGTTAATGATCAATTTATCATTTCTAAATGAAGTGTAGCATTATTTACAAACCAGTTATTTAAGAGTTGTCAGTGATTCACAAGATCACTTGGAAAGTTTAAGTAAATGGAGTAAATTCAGGTAGATTTTATGAACACACTAAGTATTACTGTATGTTTCAATAATACAATGTATGAATGTGGATTTAAATACTTTGACTAATCTTAGACAACTCCATTGACAACTTTTAAATAACTGGTTTATAAATAATGCAATACTTGATTTAGAAATGATAAATTGATCATTAATAAAGTATAAAAATACAACTATTAAAGACATTATAGATATGCTTATATGAATAAATCATATATAGCTGTTTTTATAAATAGATTTTTTTATATTAATATTAATGACTATTAATGCTTTATATGTGATGAAATAACTATTTACTCATGCCTTAGTTAAGTTTTAACGAATTAGTTAGACTAAAAGTGGATAAAGTTAATGTTAACATAACGTTAGCAGAGACAGATGACGATCAAGTTATTTTGTCTGGAAATGTAAGCCAGCTAACACATTACATAATAATTGAATTTGTCTGCAAAGGCTGATTGGTAAGGAAAAAGGTGCTAATGTTACAACAGTTCACGTTTGAAAACCATGTTGCAAATGCTTAGCTTAGCCATACCTTACCTGAAATAAAGTGCTCACTGCAGAGTCTGGAGTGTTCTGTAGGTGTCCAGTGATCCCTCTTGATAGCAGAAATCCATTTATGACGACGTTCAGGGTTTTTGGGAATATTGTAGAATTTTAGTTTCTTATCATATCTTTGTGATTTGCTGTTGTCACAGCTTACAGCACAGCTGATAGACGGCATGTTGGCATTTGCGATCATAGACAGTGTTTGTGATTCGGTCCTACAAATGGCGGCCGCGCCAATGTGTGACGTCACATGAAATCTATGAATACCTCCGTTTTATCTGAATTTAATAGCAGGAAATTACGCGTCATCCAGCATTTTATATCTTTGAGACACTCTGTCATTTTAGATGAGTTAGTGTTTTCATCTGGTCGTGATGAAATATATAATTGAGTGTCGTCAGCGTAACAGTGGAAATTAATTCCATGTTTTCTTATAATATTACCAAGTGGCAGCATATATATTGAGAATAGCAGAGGGCCTAAAACCGATCCTTGCGGTACTCCATAGTCTACAGACGTTATCTTTGATTTTTCCCCATTTAAACAGACAAAATGATAACGGCCCGATAGGTACGATCTAAATCAGCTTAATGCCTGTCCCTGAACACCAGTGTAGTTTTGTAGTCGATCCAAGAGTATTTTATGATCTATAGTGTCGAACGCAGCGCTAAGATCAAGTAGGACTAGTATTGAGATACAGCCTTGGTCAGAAGCTAAAAGTAAATCATTTGTAATTTTAACTAGCGTAGTTTCTGTACTATGATGCGGTCTGAATCCTGACTGGAATTGTTCATAGATATCATTTTCTTGCAAAAAAGAGCACAATTGAGCGGACACAACTTTTTCTAGTATTTTGGACATAAATGGAAAATTTGAAATGGGTCTTAATGAGAGGTTTTATTACTGCCAGCTTGAATATTTTTGGAACATGGCCTAAAGATAAAGACGAGTTAATAATATTGAGGAGAGGCTCTTCCACTACAGGTAATAGTTCTTTCAGTAGTGAGTAGTTTAGTGGGTATTGGATCTAATAAACAAGTTGTTGGTTTAGAAGCAATGATAAGTTTATTTAGCTCCTCCTGTCCTATCCTTGTAAAGCGGTGTAGTTGTTCTAGAGGGGCCATAATTGAAGCTGAATCATAAGACACCATAGAGGATTGTACATTTATAATTGTGTTTTGGATGTTTTCTATTTTCTCATTGAAGTAATTCATAAAATCATTACTACTAAACTGTAACGGTATATTTTGCTCTGGTGATGTCTGTTTATTTGTTAGTCTAGCCACGGTGTTAAATAAAAACCTTGGATTATTTTGGTTATTTTCGATTAGTTTGCTAAGATGCTCAGCCCTGGCTTTTTTTAGTGTCTTTATATAACGTAACATACTATCTTTCCACACGATTCTAAAGACCTCTAAATTAGTTTGTTTCCATTTACGCTCTAAATTGTGAGTTTCTCTCTTGATAGCATGCGTAGCAATGTTGTACCATGGTGCTTTAGTTTTCTCTCTAACCTTTTTTAATCTAAATGGTGCAACAATATCTAATGTACTAGTAAAAATGGTGCTTAAACTGCTAGTCATTTCCTCTAATTCATCTGTTTGTTTGGGTTCACTTAGCAGCTTAGATAGATCAGGTAAGCTATTTGAGAATCGATCTATAGTGGTTGGAAGGATTGTTCTGCCTGGTCTATAACGTGGCGCAACATGACATTTCAGCAGTACGTATTATGCAAGTCACCATGTGATGATCAGTGACATCATCGCTTTGCGGTATAATATCTATATCAGTTGGATCGGTTCCATATGATATAGTTAAATCTAGTGTATGATTTAGACGGTGAGTGGGACCACTGACGTTTTGTTTGACCCCAAAGGAGTTTAATAAGTCTGTAAACGCAGCCCCTAAAGCATAATTTACGTGTATGTTAAAATCTCCAGCAATTATTGCTTTATCGACATTCACCAATAGATCTGACAGAAAGTCTGCAAACTCTTTTAGGAATTCAGCATATGGCCCTGGAGGTCTATATACAGTAGCCAGGGCTAGAGATAATATGGATTTCCTTCTTACATCTAAGAGCGTAACATTTAGCACAAGTACTTCAAATGAATTAAACCTGTGACCTGTTTTCTGAGTAATATTAAAAATATCTTTATAGATTGTTGCAACACCGCCGCCACGACCGATCAGGCGAGGCTCATGTTTATAACAGTATCCTGGCGGAGTAGATTCGTTTAGACCGAAATACTCATTTGGTTTAAGCCAGGTTTCAGTAAGGCACAGAACATCGAAGTTATTATCTGTGACCATTTCATTTACAATAACCGCCTTAGGTGTGAGCGATCTAATGTTTAGAAGACCTAGCTTTAGAAATTGTTTTTGTTCACTGATATTTAGATTTTCTGGTTTGATTACAATAAGATTTTTTCTAGATCCTGCACTAGATTTATTATTTGGCTTCACTGAACGAGGAATAGACACAGTTTCTATATAATGTTCCACACTATGCATATTAGTTGAGTTTGGACCGCAAAGGCTGTGATTTGGACTTTGACTTACTAGTCATCTGGTGCATAACGTCTTGGAGATGTTGTCCGACAACACAGCCGCTCCGATTCTGCTGGGATGGAGTCCATCTGCACGGTACATCCCTGGTCTCTCCCAAAACAAATGCCAATTATTTACAAAGAGCAGCTTCTGTTCATTACACAATGACATTAAATGAAAGTGTAGCGCAAGTTCTGCCAGGAAGACTCAATTGTCACGTCATTATTACCTTCTCATCTATCCAATCGCGTTCTAATACGTGAAGTATAAAAGACCCTTACTTACACTTGTCTGAGTTCGCAGATGCTGACGCTTCACTTATGCTCTCGTTCAGTCGCCAGCCAACATGTCCAGGACACGCATATTGTTTACATTTATCGACATCCGACTATGTCCCGCTCTACCTCCTGCTGCACGTCGAGGTTCCCACGTTCAGTATCGCATCTCTCCGTAGGCACAGCGGTCTTCGGAGAGTATTGATCAGCCAAGGCCTTCATGAGAAATTCTGCTCCTTGGACTGGTGCCATTTATCCCGCAGATCACCGATCCACCGACGTGAAATAACAACTATGCAAATCACGAGACGATCTCTCACTGGTTCAAGTTCAAACTTCACTTCCAAGGCTTTCAAGTCGTTTCTGGTATTTTTGGTAGGTGCTTCCAGCAGCCACTGTTAATGTGTCTCCTCTACAAGATTAAACTTCATTCAGGTAAGTATTTCTCCGTTGCTTCCTACACGGCTGAGATGAAATTGGCGTCTACGATGACGTGGCGTGTTCTGATTATTACGGCTGATCTGCGGTCTGCAGAGGGGCCGGATGGCTTGCATCAATGGTAAGTGTAAGCAAAGCTTCGCGTTACTGATTCCACAGTTATGTGGTTATTTAATTATATCAGCTATCATGCTCTGTTTGTTAATACCTACTAAAAACTGTGTTTATTATAATTCAAATAAGCTTAAGAGTGCTTAAGAGCTTTATGCATATGCAGGATTGCGCTTCTTAACGTTCGCTTTAATTTTTTACCAGAGTTCGGTTGTGTGTGTATAAAAACCAAAAGCACGTTATCATTGGCCTTTATGCATACTGCAGTGGACTAGGATGGCAGTAGCGTAATAGTAATTTCACAAACAACTATTTCACCTATTAGGCTACTTTAAATTCATAAAGTCACGTTATAGTTCAAATTATATAAATAACAACGGAAATGTGTTTATGTAAAACTCAACTTTCTGGCGGCTACTTAATCTACTGATATGCGTTATAGGAATCATTTATGCGAGGGGCATTTTCACATTAACGTACCTAACCCAGACTAAAAGGAACAAGGAGTTGTGTGGCGCCGTTCAAAGTTACATACACTTGGCCAAAAACTGCCAACTCAATAATCATATTAGTATACCAGACTAATCAGTGAAGAAGACTCGAGTGACATTGTCTTGGTCAACTGCGTGATTTTCATGTCTACGCACCATTTATTCAAGAATCTTAACTGTAGTGGCCAGCGTCTTCCGTATGGGGTTATTTCTGCAAAGAGCAACTTGGGAGCCATGGCAGACATTTGCTGTACCCCTGAGAAAAAGATTCCATGCTCAAGAGTCAACAGATCAATGATCACTTAGATTCCCTTTTCACATCCTGATTATGGATCGCGGTTTAGTATACAATTATGAAATTTAAATTTAATATTCCTTCCATTCGTAGTTTGCTCGCAGGCATTCAAATTCACGCAAGTATTTTAATCCTAATTTCTTAAGTCTGTTCCCCGTAACTTCTCTTTGATTGCTTAAGATAAAAATAAACAAATAAATAAATAAATAAATAAATTAAAAATATATATATATATATATATATATATATATAGATTTAATTAAATAATAATAAATAAATAAACTCTGTTAATGCTCGACAATCACATTGTTTTATCATAAAAAAATAAATAAATAAATGAATAAATAAAAAAGTGTATAATTGTGCCTCCTTTCTTTCGCAGGATATGCACGGGTATGCTGGGTTTTGCCCAGAATGCCTCAAAAATAATTGAGTAGTAATGGTCATTTCGAGGGTGAGTAAGCATCTTGTTTCGCCTCCACATTGGATGTGGTAGGGCTGCTGCTTCCAGCACAGGGATCGGAGTTTCAACAGCTCGGTGCAGCTTCGATTACCATCACCGACATTTTAACTTTTTCACTTGTTCAACTGGAATCGGAGTCTCAGGAAGTGTCAACATAGTCAACATTCCAGATGGTCGTTGATGGATCATGTAGCTCATGCGTAGTTATCTCTAGTTACCAGTTAGGTTATTCTGTCTCGATATTTTATATATCATGTCCTGCTGGCAGGATCAATTATATTTAGGCTGTGATGAACTAACCCAGGAGGAATGTCACTAGCTCCTCCCAGCACTGTTGCATTCTTTAAAGCAATTTTCAAATGAATTCTTCCACTGTTTGAACTTTCAGTGTTTTACCTTGCAGATGTTGGTTATGCTTAAAACAGCAGCATTACACTCCAAGTCAGAAAGCAAAATCCACTCAACCCCTTTTGATTACGTCTGTCTGCAGTGGTCCCTTCTTATCGTTATCAGATTATAGCTGTCTGTTACAGCGTTCATGGCTCATTCCAGGTGCAAAATACTCCAGATTTTCCCCATGGTCTTTTCTAATTTCGTTCCTCACCTAATTCCTTCCTCAAAGAATGACTATAAAGGCTTTGCATCATATTA